TAGCTTCATAATTAGCCCGTTGCATTTTTTCACGAGTGCTAGCATCAGCGTTCTGCGATGTGTTTCTCTGATTAACAGCTGCTTTGCAACTATTTCCTTGTGCCACCGATGACCATATTTGTCAAGGAACTCCTGACAGAGTACTGATTTCTTACTAAAATGCAGCATTTCTGTTTGAAGAGGGTTCTCATTCTTGGCAGTGCCCAGCTTTTAAAGTCAGTCCTCGTTAAAACTCGAGTTGGCTTTGGTCTAACGCTTGTTAACCGGAGTCTGGGTATCTATCTACTTTAGAGTATGCGTGTAGGAACCTTTCACAGGCAATTTAATCTTCCAAGCAGCGCACGTGTAGTGGTGCAGGGTTGGAATGGGGTTTCAGGCCCGCATGTCGGTCGTTTTCTTTTGCCCTCTAGTTGTGATCTCTCTGGGTTGAAAAGTACTTGGCTTTGGTTGTTAGTTTCATTAATTTTTGAATATTTTGAATATTTTAAAATGGCTAATGAATGCCCACATTTTAGGAGATAGATGTGTATGTAGCACACAGGAGTGCTGGAATTGGTGGCATTCCAAATAAGTGTCACTGGAGACAATGCATCAGGTTTACACGTCAGGTGCAAAGTGCTAAGGCTCCCTCAAACCCCAGGTTCGTTATTAGGCAAGCTCCGTTCTCCCCTCCTCCTTGTGCAGAAAATAAAGTGTGCATTCTGAAGATTACAGCATGCAGGTCTTTTGTAGGAAGGTGGAAAACACATAGGAAGCATCTCTTCAGAGAGGACTGTCAGGAACCTCGATTCTTCTCACCAGGGATTACTTATCCTACACAATGCATTTAACAGCACATAGTTCATCGCAGATAGCCCCGGAGTATACTGTATTCCATTGATTTATACAGTTACAAATCCTGTCTCTCAAACACAGATCTCTCTCAATTGGCCAATCATCTTGGATCCAAAGGTGTTTTTCAACCTAAAGCCCCCCCCCCCTTTTTCCTGGTTTGCTGGCAGTCCCTCCAGTGTAACCATTGCAAAGGCAAGAATTTACTCCTTTTCTTCACAACCTCAGTTTTACCTCTAGCTTTAAGTGATAAATAGTGAAAATTACCAGATTTCCCTAAAATTGTGGAGTTGCTGGTGGCAGGATTTTATTTTGCTTTTAGGGGGAGGAAGGCAGAAGATAGGGTCACAGGAATAGGGGTGGTGAGGAACTCTGCTTCTGTTTTCTTCTGAGTTCATCATCTTTATTTTTATGAAACCAACTACTAGTAATCTGAGATGCGCTCATTAAGAACTCTCTCAGTGCAAGAAGAGGGGAAAGGAAAGCCATTTCCATATTTATCATGGACTCAACAGCAAGTGGCTTCAACAAGGCCATCAGGTGCTTTGCACGAGAATTTTCCCTGGCTTGCTGCACTCCCACAACATGTGCAATAAAGTTCCCGTCTCCGTTTTACATCTTTGACATTGAGGCGGAAGATTTGGCCTGAATTTATGTAATTTAGTTGGGCACAAATATAACCCATGAATAGTCACATTCATCTCCTAATTAGAAAATCAAACGATAATACAGGACAGGCTGCAGGCACCCCATCATTTCATCCAACAAAAGCGTGTTGTGTGTGTTGGACCTCTGCAGAGGAAGGAGTTGAATTGCTTCATGAAGTTAATGAAAAGTGTCCAACAATAGGTGAATGAAAGATGCAAACCGAGTGCACTGTCAGTTATTTAGTGTGTTAAAATCTTTGCATTATGGGTAAGGGTTTCTGGGAAGTCTTTTACCATCTGTGTATGAATTGTAGAGCTTATAAAATTCTAAATTGGACAGGCCTTTTTTCCTCCCATGGTAGTGCCACTTGCTCATGTGGAGGGAGGAGAAGGGTAGAGAGTAGCTGAAGAAATAATTAGTGAAAGGAGGAGAGAGGTTTTCATATGCTCACACTTACATGTAGCTGCTTAGCTGGGTATCTTTCTTATTCAGCACATTATGTTGGGGCTATTAAGTTTGGATGCTTTATATTTTTGCATCTGGCGTAGTGATATCGATGCTGTTAAACATGTGATTTGCCTGTCGCCTGCGTTTTCAGACAAAGATCAAGGGGAACATAAACAAGCCCCAAATATACTTTACGTAGGTGTTTGGCAGTATTATTTTATATGGCTTGAAATTAGTGAATGGAAACTTTAAAAGAAATTGTTCATATTTTTGCAAGTTTGAAGTGTGCCGGGACTTTGTCAAATTCCCGTTAAAATAAATATGTCAATTTCATCTCCCTTCCAAATTCATTTATCTTGCTTTTTTAAAAGGTGTTTTCTACTTTACCTGATGTTTAAATTGGATTCGCTCGTTTATGCTGTTCTTTGCTATATCCCCCACGTTTTTCTTAAATGAATTACTAATGACAGAGCACTCCATCATTCCCTCTCTACAGCCACTTTAAGGAAAGCATGGTGATCTAAACCTTTTAACCTATTAAAGATGATTTTTCCCAATTGAATCAGACCCACCACAGGTGTAATAACTAATCATTTAAACTACACCTGCTATTATGTATTTTTAAGCCATTATGCGTGTTGGATAGATGATAATTCATGTTTATTGCATTGTCCGATGGATCCGTTTTGCCTACACTAGGCTGATTAATGTATTTAAAGAAATAAGAGATGCAATTTTAAAAAAAAATTGATGGAATGCACCAAGCACTGCATTGAGTGCACCATTAAACCCATCAGAACTTTGCTCTCTGACCAGAAATGCATATACCAAGGATTATATTAAAAAAGCAAGGTGAAACCTGTGCATTTTAGTGATGGGATTCTGTTTTCTTTCTCTGTCATGGAAAATTTTGGAAGGATGAAGGAAAGGTTTATGCTTCTATGGGTAAATGAGAGGAGGTGTGCTGTTAGCATTTACTGCTTAAGACCTGCTCATTCACATTTCCTTGGACCCCTGGTACACACACCACAGCTGTATAACACAAAGGCCACAGTTGTCTTGTGTGTTGAAGGTGTAGTTTTTCTCCAAGTGAAGAACGATTATCCCTGAGCCATCTGAGCTGTGCAGATGGGCATTGACCCTGTGGGCCTGTGATTGTGTACTTGTCCGGTCTCTTTCCAGGGCTAGGCCTCTCTTTCTTTAGTTTTTCTCCTTCCTCCTTTCACCACTTCCCCTTCCCACTTCTCCCTTTTCGTTTCCTTCTGCGTTGTCCTCTTGTCGAGTTGCCTTCTTCTTCTCCGCTCCCTTTCCCTCCGTCTCCCCATTCCCTTTTTTTTTTTCTCTTCTTTCTTTCCCCTCTCCCATCTCTTCATTAAAATGCATCCGTTTTATAGATATTTGTCAGATTTTTCTTGATTTTGGTGCAACTTGAGGAGATCTGGTTGAAGGGCTATGGGTGCGGGTATGTAGTTTTGGGGTTGTAGAATCTCAAGCGTTGATTTTTCTCTAGTCCAGAACTGGTTGGTTATCCCTGTGGTTCATGGTGGTGGTTAATATGTTAATATGTTAATGTGTTGGAGAGATTATAACCCCTCTCAAGGACCACTTGTGTGTCTTACCGTTCACAGGCCGAAATCTGAAAGTCTGGGACACCTGAGTTCATCCTTTAGGGAGAATGTTTTGGCAAGCCTCCCATAGACAGATTATGTGGAAAATATTTATGAGAATTGCCCTGGCCTTTTGTTTTTCTTTCTGATTTACCCTCATATCTTTTGTTACCAGAGAAGTCTGTCTGGTCTCAACATTAAATTCATATAAAATATGAGGAGAGTATTTGTGACTTGTATTCCATTTGTCCCAGGACTTTCTGTTTGAATCTTTCTATAACTACTACCCTTACTTTGAAAGATCTTAAGAAACTTCTTTATATTTGGCCCCTTAGAAATTTTTCTTTCAACAACTTATGAGTGAACTGCAGGGCCTGTTGATTTTACTTATAAGACCCTGTTATTCTTTTGGTTTTGTTGGGATGAATAATGCCAGTTATTTAAAAAAGCCCCTTTCCTATCTGGGGCAGGTTGGCATTTCCCACCTGTTGGATAGAGAGGTGTCTGGGACAGAGAGGAGACAAGTGGTGTGCAAATGCACCTTTGTGTGTGCTGAGTGATGTGAAGGTTAATACCTTTGTCAGTTTTCCTTCCACCCCCTTCTTGGCTTATTCGTAGTTATGAAGATTTCGTTAGGTAATATCATTACCAGAGGTAGGTAGATAATCTGTCAGTCTGTCAGTTTTAGCCATGAAACCCCGAACTTTGTCCTTTGAAGGCTCTTCAAAATTCAGCTCCACTGCGTAAGAGGGACGAGTGTGAGTGGCTGTGTGTGTTGTCTCTTATATAATCCTTCCCGACTGGTGTATGCTCAGCACTTTGCTAGGCTATGTAGAGGCAGCATGGTCTCTTCCTTTTAGATGCTTGCAGTGTAGTTGGGGAGGCAGCCTGAACATTAGAAGACAGTATAATTATGTCTTCAATTATATGGTACACACTACAAGCATTGAAGAATTTAAGAGAATAGGGAGATCGGAGATGGCTTGCTTACTTAGGGAAGGCTTCGAGGAGTTAGAACAGGCCATAAAAGGGCTGTGCTGATGTGTGTGTGCATGTGCATAATGTTTAGACAGGTAGAGGTGGGGAAGGGAGGCCTTCTAGAAAAAGGGCATAGCATGGGCACAAGTGTAGTGACACGGAATGAGCATGGCCAGGAGAGGGCTACCTGCTGAGGAGTATGAAGAATTGGCTCGCATGGGGAGAACAGGAAAAGATTTTTGGAGGTCTTGAAAACTAGGCTGAGGGGATTAGATTTGATAGAATCAGATACAGGAAGCCAATGAAAGCAGGGAACCGACACAGTCTTTTATTTAGGTAGATTTTAAATGTGAGAAATAACTGGTTATAAATTTGACCACACTAGTGTGCTTATTTCTATGGACCTGGGATAAACTTGTAGGATTTTTAATCTTGAAATTCAGGCTATTGACAGTTTACTTTTCTTCTCTGTTTTTTCTCCCCTACCAGATTGCCACAGCAGTGAAGTTTCTACAGAATTCCCGAGTCCGCCAGAGCCCACTTGCGACCAGGAGAGCATTCCTTAAGAAGAAAGGTACAGGTTTCCTAGGGCCAGGCCGAGTGGCCTGCAGAAAGGGACTGGGGACAGGGCCAATGGAAGCCATAGTGCTGGTAATAGGACCTCCTATGGCTGTTCCACTAGTGTAGGGATGGGGGTGAAGGGAGCCCCCCCACGTGGAAATGCAGGCTTCTTTCCCTACAGTGTAGCAGAGGGATGATACGATTCGGATAATTGAGCACCAGATGTAAGGCCAACAGCTCAGCCCAGGACAGCCTGGCACAGGCAGTGTCCAGCAGCAGAAGAGGCCCACTGGATAAGACTGTGGAGGACTTCTACTTTCTGATCCATTCTTCTGATAATGACCCTGGCTGCAGAATGGCTGGCTTAAGTTTAGGTTAGGAGGTCAGCTGCTTCAGTAAAGAATGAGGAAGAAAGAAATGAAGGACGAGGGAAATGAGATGACCAAACAAGGTCAGATTAAGGCCAAGCTTGGGATCGGTCTGATTTACAGATTGAAGTGGTAAATTACTGGTTTTATGGTATTTCTATAAACAAGGTTAAATGGATCTTGACAAATTCAATATTGTCCGAAGCAGATAGAATCTATCCTGACTGTTGAAATTTAGGATTTTTTCTTTTTGGTAAAATACAAAAAAATCCCCAAACAAACAAAAAGAAAAATCGAACTTTTTATTCTCTGAACCTTCAATTTTCTAGAAAGCTAAGAAGTTGTTTAAAGGTCCTTTTACACCATGAGGGAGGAAAGTGAGTTTTCTTTCCCTCTAAAATAAAGCTGTTTTTCCTTTAGGAGCTGGAATGTCAGCCTCAGAAATTCTGGGTTTTGAGCTTTAAGTCGTTTGTGGCTAGAATAGAAGATGGAGTGGTTTGGTGGTATTTCCTAGGTCTGCTCAATGGTATCCCGCCGAATTGATGCTGTAGGACTGTGTCCCAGGGCTGCACTCACAGCCTTTCATTCACAGGCGGCTGTTCAGAGGCAGCCTCAAGGCCGGTGCCTGTGACTGAGTTGATGAGGGGCACTGTGTGCTTGCTGGCGGCATCAGCTCGCCCCCCATCAGTAGGAGATTATTAAAATTTGGAGTGTGTTGGCCAGCCTCTCCACTTCACAACCATCATGCCACAAAAGAGTTTTTCCTTGAAATATGTGTACCTATGGGGAGTAATTAATCATAAAAGCTTGGGGATTTCAGCTCTCTCATCAAAGCATTGAAGCTGGGGAAAGCTGAGCCTAAAAGCTGTGCTGACTACCCAGGGTAACCTGAGACAAAATCTATGGTTGCCGAGAGATCCTTCGCCCCAGTATATTGTGCAATATTATAACTGCCTGATCTTCTCTTCCACTGACAATGACCAGTTATTCCTCATTTTCTCTCAAACGCAGCTGGGTTAGAATTTCATTTGCAGAAGGTATTTAGAGCAATTTAGAGACAAATGTCTCTGGTGTTTGCTCGGCACTTCCCCACCGCAGGCTTTGCTGAGCAGTTTTAGTATCAGGAGCTCCATCTAATCTGTTTAATTTTAATAAATCCCTGACTGGGAGAGGGAGAGAAAAAAAAGAGAGAGAGAAGCTCTGGACCAAATAATACTTCTTTTGAGTTAGTTGGGTAATAATTACTGTAGAGAGGAAACTGTTTTGTGCAATTATTATTTGTTGCTCCTTAAAAAAAAATTGATTAATTCATCTGAGAGTGTTTACCCTGTGCCGCACCCTGTTCTAGGGACTGAGGATTTAGCAGAGGACAGGACAGACAAAGTCCCTGCCCTCTCAGAGCTTAGATTCTAACGGAGGAAGGCAGACGGTTAACAAAGGGAAAAATGAAATACGTAGTATGTCAAATGGCGAGTGCCATGGAGAAAAACAAAACTGGGCACGTGGGGTTGAGGAATGCCAGTGTTGGTGTGGGAGTGAATTGCACTTCTAAACAAGGTGATTAAAGCCTGTCTGTCTGAGAGGGTAACATGTGAGCTGTGACCTGAAGGAGATGAGTATGTCTTGGTATAGAGTGGGTGTAATTCCTTCTTGACCCCTAATGTGGGTTAGAATTTTTAGAATTTTAGGCAGCAGGAAACTTGAGAGGCATCCTTCCTTTCTTCTTCTAAAGAGAACCACAGGAGTTTGCCCCATACTTAAACCCGGAATCACTGGACTTAATCACCCATCTCCATTATCCTCTAAAATGCTGCTTCAGTCAGTAATTATCTATTTCCGAGTTGAATCCCAATAGGGTAAGTTCTGGCGGGACCTTTTCTGGGCAGAGAATTCCAAGGTTTGATCAGCGTCTGGGGAAGAACAGCCCCTTAGTGGATTTAAACTTCACTTTTTAAATTTCTGGCTATTCCTTGGGTCAGACATATATAATCAGCGTAGCTTGGCACTATCTCTGATGGAATGAGGGAGGAGGGGCTTTTGCAAAGGAGCACGCATCTACCCTGTTCTTAACAGTAGTTGGGAAGGAAAGAGTTGGCTCACTGGACTTTGGCCGTGGGGAGGGACCAGAGTTCTGGCATCCTTATGTTGGTGTCTCCCCACAGGACTTATGCAGTGGTGGGTTTGGAGCGCTGGCTTTGGGCGAGCTCACAGCTACTGTCGTCTTGGTTTTTCCTAGCAAATGTCACTTCAGGGAATTGCAGTGGAGCACTGCCTTGAATTATAATCTTGACTTTCTTTTTTTTAATAAACATCTCTTTCCTGAAAAGGCAAATCCAATTTTGTTTTTCTTTTAATATTATTTAATATTTAATATAGAAATTGAGGTCCCTGTAGTGCATGTCAGTTCAATGGAAAATGAGGGTTACTTTAGGCGCATCAGCTGAGTTTGTTTTATTGTGAAACCACAGCCCGAAGCAGGGGCTGCATCCTGTCTCTGTTACTGACAGGTTAAATGTTGTGCTCTCTGATTTTGGGGGTCTGGGGAGGCCGGGGCAGTGAATAGAGGTGGGGAGTGAATGGGGTAGGCATCGAAGAGCATTGGTCTGCAAAAGTCTTTTTGTTTGTGTTTTTTTGAAATCTCTTTTGGATGCTTTAAAGTCAGAATATAGAGTCATTAATGAGAAACATGAAGTTATTAGAATCATTTATCATTTTCTTTGAAGTTTGGACTGCCATTTTGTGTAATTTACAGCATTTCTTTCTTTTATCGGGATCTTTTTGGATGAAAGAAAAGCAGCTGTTCACCTTCAGAGTATTAGAGTAAATGTTTTTGTTTTTCTTCCAACCAGTTGATTCTGCAGATGACACACCAATGGCAGAGTGTGTGTGGGGTTTAAGCCCTCATAGAACTGGCCTATATATAGAAGCAGTTCTTGCCAGGCACGCATCACATCTGGGGCTTTAAACAAGGCTGCAATCCAGGAGGCTAGAGTAACTTACAAACAGCGTAGAATCAGTCTGCAAAGTTAGAGGCTTGGACATTGTTGTCAGTAGGCTTATGCTGATTTGACATCCTATCCAACCACAAAATGTAGGAGGTAGTCTGCTTCCAAACGTGTTCGGCAGATTGAGTATGTAGTGGGTAAAAGTGATGCCTGTTCGTGGTGGGTGAAAGGGGTAGATGAGTGGGGGAAGATAGAGTTGTCTCTTAGCTTACTCTGATATGTCTGTTGCAAAGTACGCTTCTAGGGAAAAGAGAAATGCCATACACTTTTCTGTATAATCCTGCATAATGGGGCCTGGGTGGTGTTGGCTGACACTTTTGCTTATTGTGCCCTTCTCAAGTATATAAGCAAAGGGCTGTATTCTCCCTCATCTAATGACTAGTCCGGGGGGAAGGAAAACTAAACAATAAAACACACCACCATACTTTCTCATTCTAAAAGGTGAAGCAAGATCTTATCTTCTGTTCCTGGAAGCGGAACCCCCAGTAGCAAAACTGCCTTCTTGCTGGAAATGAACTTGAGGAAGAAACCTGATGGTCTCACCCTTGGTAGTGGGGTAGAGGTGAAGGGCTTCTCTCACTGGAGTATTTTAAGGGGGAGGAAATTCCTACACAGATTTCAATTTAACTCTCTTTTATTACTTTTCTTTTTTATCATTTATGTCCATTTCATGAGGTAGTTTGCATGTCCTTGAATGGAATCTCGTTACCATGAAAGCTTTTTTAGCATTGATTTCATAACAGTCTTAATTTAATAGCTCCGTCATTACTGAGAAGCTCTGGGAGTGGGGCCCTGGCTTTCCAGGTCACTGACCTTTTAATTACAAACCTTGTTCTGATGGCCAGGTTATCGACTGGACAGCTCCCAGCTTGTGCCCCCAGGATGAAAATGAAAATAACTGTGTTTCCTCCCCCATCTCCAGGAAAAAAAATTGTAACCTCATGTGTTTCTAAAATTAATTTTCTCCTTCAGCTTTACTTTATAATTAATTCTTTAATGTGTCTTAGTGAAGCCAGAAGTCTTTATAGCACTGTTTTTCCTAGAGCTTGGGTCCAGCAGATAGCATGGGGGCAGGATGGGGCAGGGAATGAAGATCTTGCCAGCTACTACCCCATGCTTGATTGTGGCCTGTTTCCTTATCGTCAGAAACTCCTGCAGCTGAGCTGGAAGGAATAGTGTTGGCTCTGAGGGGCTGTCTGGCCCTTCTGATTCTTTGTTAATGAGACATAGATTGTCGCATCAGTTTAGATTCAGTCCTTTATCTGCTGGAGTAATTGAGCCCTGTATATCCTGGACATTTTAAGAAGACGGTCCAGTTCTGAGAAAAGACACAGGTTGGATGATTGTTCTTATTGCGTCTTACGTCTCTGTAGTCTTACGTGACTGGAGGAGACAAGTACCCTACACGAGGCGTTCTACTCAGTCATGAGTTTGAACTGAATAGGTTGGTCTAGGTTTTCTCTTACTGGCAATGAAGAGGGAGAGGAAAAGGAGAGGACGGTGGCCGGTAAGTAGGATGACCATTGGTTCCACTTTGCCCAGGACTGTCCTGGTTTTTAACACTGAAATTCCTATGTCCTGTGCAGCCCCTCAGGCCTGGGGGAACACCCTAGCAGTACAAGCCTTACTCAGGAGTAAGA